CACTTCACTCACCAGCCCTTGGGAGGAGGCGGCTGCCTCTTTCCTTATTCCTTTAATGAAGAAGCAAGGGTAGCATATGAGTGTTTCCTGGAGGAGTGTGGTCCTCACATTCGGAGATCTCTGCTTGCTCGTCCCTCACCAGTGCTGAATTGGGAACACACACACACACACACACACACACACACACACACACACACCCCTAGCCTTCCTTGCTCTCAGAATGGAGGACCAACTTGATCTTCTGTTTCCTTTCTTAGTAGCGACAGTGACAGCGAAGGAGATAATCCAGAGAAAAAGAAATTACAAGAGCAGTTGATGGGTAAGAAGCCTGAGGTCCATGGCGATAGGGGAGTGTCAGGGGTCCTCTTTTGGGTCCACTTGTGCTCATGGGTCAGTCTGGGCCTTCTTGCAGGTGCTGTTGTGATGGAGAAACCCAACATACGGTGGAATGATGTGGCCGGACTCGAGGGGGCGAAAGAGGCTCTCAAAGAAGCTGTCATTTTGCCAATTAAATTCCCACACTTATTCACAGGTAGGAAGGAGTGTAGCATGGTGCATGACTTTAATCCCAGCACTCAGGAGGCAGAGGCAGGCAGATCTCTTGAGTTCAAGGCCAGCCTGGTCTACAGAGTAAGTTTTACAATAGCCAAAACGACACAGAGAAACCCTTCTTGAAAAACGAAAACAAACAAACACCAAAGGATGTAGCCACTAGCCCAGGTATAAAATTGTCAGCCTGAGGAATCTAGCTTAGGGTTCCACCCCAAGTGTCCCAGAACAGATGGTAGGTGGCCTCGTGTCCTAGCAGACAGCTCACAGGGTAGGTCCTGGCCTTGTTGTGTGTTGTGTCTGTCCTTGCTGGGATGGAACCTGGGACCTAGGCAAGCACTCTCCTACCCTGACCCTAACTCCCTGGTGTCTTGCCAGCATCAAAAACATGTTTGTGTGGATCTCTGTGAATTTGGGGCCAGCCTGGTCCACAAAGGGAGTTCCAGGACAGCCAGGGCTGTTACACAGAGAAACCCTGTCCCAAAAAAAAAACAAAAACAAAAAAAGTTTTTGTAGGCTGAGAATACAGCTTGATTTGTAGTTTTTCTGACATTTGTAATGCTGTGGGTTTGATCCTCAGCACCACATAAATTGGATGTGCTGGTATAATAGCCCTGTAATCTCAGTACTTGGCAGGCAGGATGATCGGAATTTCAGGGCCATTCTTGACTACAGCATGAGTTCTAGGTCCGTTTGAGATATAGGAGACTTGAACTGCTCTCAGTGAGCAGGCAGGATCGAGAACTAGTGCTGGCCAGTACTCTTGTTAAGGACATGGGGGTCATTAACAAGGTGAGGTCTGAGCTCCCAACAGGTGTTTGGTTCTCTTTACTTCTAAAATCAGTGGTTTTATAGAAGTTTCTCTTTCTGTTTTGACAGTGACTAAGGGCCTTCCATTTTATACATTTATATAAATTTTATAACTTTGTTTTTAATTTTTTGTTTTTTCAAGATAGGTTTCTCTGTGTATCCTTAGCTGTCCTGGAACTCACTCTGTACATCAGGCTGGCCTTGAATCCACAGAGATCCGCCTGCCAGGTGCTGGGATTAAAGGCATGAGCCACCACCACCCGGGCAATAACTTTGTTTTGAGATTGGGTTTATTTTATATGTATTGGTGTTTTACCTGCATGTATGTCTGTGCACCATATTCATGCAGTTCCCTTGAAGGCCAGAAGAGGGTGTTGGATCCCCTGGAACTAGAGTTACAGTTGTGAACTGCCATGTGGGTGCTGGGACCAAGCCTAAGTTCTCTGGAAGAACATCCAGTGCTATTAACTGCTGAGCCACCTCTCCAACCCCACAACTTTTTATTTATTTATTGTGTATGTATGGTATGTTCATGCATAATTATATATAAATGTTCCCTGTGTGGGGATGCATGTATGTGTACATGTGTATGGAGGTCAGAGGAGGATGTCAGTTATCCTTCTCAGTTGCTCTCCGCCTTATATATTGAGGCAGGGTCTTTACGCAGTGATTCAGCTACTCTAGCAGCTTACTCTAGGGATCCCCTCACTCTGCTTTCCAAATACTGGGGTGACAGGCAAGCCACCACTCTGGCCTGGTGTTTTCCTGGGTGCTGGGGAGCTGCACTGTAGTCCTCATGCTTGCAGGGCAAGTCTTCTGCCTCCTGTGCCGGCTTCTCCAGCTCTGCCTTCAACTTTTCAACTTTCTCAGTCAGGAAACAGCTGACTCGTGTTCATTCTTTATTACAGGCAAGCGTACCCCTTGGCGAGGTATACTGCTTTTTGGGCCCCCAGGCACAGGCAAGTCCTACCTGGCCAAAGCCGTGGCAACAGAAGCCAACAACTCCACCTTCTTCTCTGTGTCCTCCTCGGATCTGATGTCTAAGTGGTTGGGGGAGAGTGAGAAGTAAGTCAGCCGTCAGCTGGGCTGTGGCAGCTGCTGGTAGTCGAGCTTCCTGGCCCCTGGAAATCACTTCCCAGAGAAGCTGCCATCAGATGACCAGGGATAGGAGTCAGGAGAACAAGCTCTTACTTCTTGAGGTGCTGTCCTGATACACAGATGTCAGAGAACATGGAAAAGATGAAGCACCCCTGTAATCCTAGCACTCAGAGGCAGAGGCAGGAGAATCCCTGAGTGTGAGGCCAGCCTAGTCTACGGAATGAGTTCCAGGACAGCCAGTGCTACACAGAGAAACCCTGTCTCGAAAAACCAAACCAAAAAAGAAAAAAGAAAAGGAAAGGGAAAGCAACCTCTTGTGAGTATACATCGTTTTGTTCGCTTTCCTTTTGGTTTTGTGAGACAGGATCTCATATACCCCAGGCTAGTCACAAACTCCTTCTGTAGCAGAGGCTGGCCCTGAACACGATTCTCCTCGTACTACCTCCTAAGTGGTGGGGTTTCGGACACGTGCCACCAAGCCTACAGAGTCAGTTGCAGTTGTGTGCCTCTTTGGGGCATTGTATGGCTTTAGCTTATTCCTCCAGCTGACCCCCATTCTTTGATATTAACTGAGGCTCAGAGAAAAGGAAAGGAGCTAGTGAATGGAGCTCCCAGGACTTGAGGCTATGCCACAGCAGGTTCTTGGTTCACTGCTGTTGCAGGACTTGTCTGCCCTGTTTTCCCTGTTAGCATTTTCAGCCTCCCTGTGAGAGAGGCACTGGATGTAACAACTGGGTCTCAGGGTGGGCACGTTTGGGGGTGTCCAGGTCCTGACCCCTTTCTCACTCTCGCAGGCTAGTCAAGAACCTGTTTGAGTTGGCCAGGCAACACAAGCCTTCCATCATCTTCATTGATGAGGTGGACTCCCTCTGCGGGTCACGGAATGAAAATGAGAGCGAGGCTGCCCGAAGGATCAAAACGGAGTTCTTGGTTCAGATGCAGGGTGTGTGCTGCCACCTTGTCACTCTTGGGCTGTCTTCCTCCTCAAGGCAACCCAGGGCTCCATTATGTGGCTGCACTGGGCACGATAGAGGAGAGGCACTTGTGATGCCATCTCTGCCAGCCTTACATGGGCTTGCATCCAAGAGGGTTCTGAGGCCTTTGCCACGTTGCCTCTCCATCCCACCCAGAGCAGCTGTGCTGTTGGTCTCTACCCAAGAAAGCCCCAAGACATGGTTAGTTCCCATGGGTTCTGGCTGCCTCTGCAGGCATCTTCAGTTGCTTCTTTGTCTCCCATTCTCCACAGGAGTGGGAAATAACAATGATGGGACTCTTGTTCTTGGTGCCACAAACATACCCTGGGTGTTGGATTCAGCCATTAGGAGGAGGTGAGTCTAAACTAGGGGCTTAGGACTGGTATCTTTGTCTGGCAATGGTCATTTTGTTACTAGCTGTCCGTCCCCGTTTCTCCGGAATCCTCCCATGTCTGCGTGTCAAGCAGAGCCCTTGGTAAAGTTGGGTATTGGACCTCGGTCACTCATTTTAATGTGCATGCTGACTTTTCCCTTCACATCATTCTGTGATCAGCTCTCGTTTGATATGCATCTATCTCTCCAGGTTTGAAAAGCGAATTTATATCCCATTGCCAGAGGAAGCGGCCCGCGCCCAGATGTTTCGATTACATCTGGGAAGCACACCTCACAACCTCACTGATGCTAACATCCACGAGCTGGCCCGGAAGACAGAAGGCTACTCAGGAGCAGACATCAGCATCATCGTGCGGGACTCCCTCATGCAGCCGGTTAGAAAAGTACAGTCAGCAACACACTTCAAGAAGGTTGGTGGCAGCAGTGGTTAGGCAGTGTCACCAGTCAGGAGGTGGGGGTGGCCTCTGGTTGTTTTTTACTAGCTTCCTGACTGCTAAAGGTACATTCTCTATGAGAGAACCAAGGGTGGATTTTTTTTTTCTTTGTGAGACAGGGTTTCTATCTGTAGTCCTGGCTGTCCTAGAACTCACTCTGTAGACCAGGCTGGCTTTACATTCACAGAGATCTGCTTGCCTCTGCCTCCCGAGTGCTGGGATTAAAGATGTGCACTGCCACCACCCGGCCCCAGAGGTAGATATTATGTACCCTTTTGCTCTAGGACTGGAGCTGTGCCGTACACCCTCCCTGCAGGTGCTGCTGGAAAATAGTGCTCTTCAGCTGTGGGAAACAGAAGACAGCAGCCAGCCCCGTGCTGGAGGGCAGGGCACACAGACCAAACACTTGCCAAGTGCCAGACACAGCCATGGGAAGGGCTTGCCCACTCATTCGGGCACATCTTTGTTGTGTGTCTGCTGTGGCTCTGCTGTGTGCCAGCACTGTTCTGGGTGTAGGGAATGCAGTAATGGAGACACCCAACAAGAGAAATGCTGATTCTTCTTTAGCAAATAGCTGAGACACTAGGAGTTGCAGAAGTTTGGAGGCCTGTGTGGGCTGCTCTGTTAAGACATAGAAGTCGAAGGATGACTTCCAGTTGGTTCTTTCCTTCCATCATATAGATCTGGGAGATCAAACTCAGGTCATCAGGCTTGCTTACAGATGCCTTTACCATCTCACTGGTTCTTTTTTTAATTTATTCATTTTTATTATTTTATGTGTATTGGTGTTTTGCCTACATATATGTCTGTGTGAAGTGTCAGATCTTAGAGTTACAGACAGTTGTGAGCTGCCATGTGGGTGCTGGGAATTGAACCCCGGTCCTCTGGAAGAACAGTCAGTGCTCTTAACTGCTGAGCCATCTCTCCAGCCCCTCCAGAGGGTTCTTATTTGTCTTGTTTTAAATTCTGCTGTGGGGGTGGGGGCAGTATGCATGGGTGCCATGACATGTTTTGGAGGTAAAGGGACAAGTTTGAATTTGGTTCTTCTCTTTCACATGGGTTCCACAGATGGAACTCGACTGTCAGGTTTGCATGGCAGGTGCCTTTACCCACTGAGCCATCTTTCAGACCTCAGACCTGAGTTCTTTTTTTTTTTTTTTTTGGTTTTTCGAGACAGGGTTTCTCTGTGTAGCTTTGCGCCTTTCCTGGGACTCACTTGGTAGCCCAGGCTGGCCTCGAACTCACAGAGATCCGCCTGGCTCTGCCTCCCAAGTGCTGGGATTAAAGGCGTGCGCCACCACCGCCCGGCCAGACCTGAGTTCTTAAGGAGCTTTGCCCTCCTCCAACCTTGATGACCTAGAAACCCTAGTGTCTCCTTCAGGCTATCCTTAGGTCCTGACGTACACTACTACCAGGGACAGCCACACCAGCCTGACAATCTCTGCTTGGTTTCAGGTCTGTGGCCCTTCCCGCACCAACCCTAGTGTCATGATTGATGATCTTCTGACCCCATGTTCTCCAGGGGATCCAGGGGCCATAGAGATGACTTGGATGGATGTCCCTGGTGATAAACTCTTAGAGCCTGTGGTCTGCATGGTAAGTGACCCAGTGGGAGAGAACCAGAAAGTCCAGAAAAGTGGGAATCTGAGCCTAAGAGTAAAAGTGAATGTCTTCCTCTTGTCCTGGCTCATAGTCCTCCCAGAGAGTATGAAGCCTTTGGGGTGGTGGGTAGCTGAGGTTTTTGCTGAGACTCTGGAAACCTCTAAGAGGAAGAGGAAGTCCAGAAGGAGCCAGTGAAAGTCTTTTCACATGGGTCTGGCCCGAGCAGTCTAGAGCTCTTCTAGTTCTGTCAGTTGTGGTCCTGTTCTCTGCTGGCAGCTGTCTGCACATCGGTGACTACAGTAACAGAAGCTGCTGATGGGAAGGAAGGGAGGAGTTATGGGTGAAGAAGTCGTCTTTCAGATGATGTGCAGTCTGCACTGGGGGTGACCTCAGAGGCAGGCCTCTTGTCAATCTAGACAGCACTAGAGAGGAGGGCTGAGGACCTGGAGTCAGCTGTTTTCAGCTGCATGCTTGTGTCTCTGCAGTCAGACATGCTCCGGTCTTTAGCCACTACCCGGCCCACGGTGAATGCAGATGACCTCCTGAAAGTAAAGAAATTCTCTGAGGACTTTGGACAGGAGAGTTAAAGCTTCATGCTGATAATGAAATTGGGAGTTTGACTGGAGCAAATTCATGGGACTTCCTCCACCAGTGGCCAGGCAGGGCCTGGAGTCCCGAAGTCACTAGTACCCCTCTGCTGCCTGGCTGTCAACCTAGTGGGATGATGGAAGGGCCTCCACAGCTGCAGAGATGCTTCACCATGTAGGACACCTGGACACTGGTTCTGCATACTTCACTCCTGGATGCTCACACTCCTTGCCCTGATATGTTTTTCTTGTTTTTTTTGTTTTTAACTTTGGTTCCCCTAAATTAATGCTGCTTTGATTTCTGTCTTGTTTATAAATAAAGAGAAAACTCATCTGGAAGTGTTAGGAGTGGGAGCCACCAGGCCCCTGCTTCCACTCCTTTCCTCTGAAGTTGGCTACTTGAGAGCTGACTGTGGAAAGTAGGAAAAGCCATCCCTGTCACCTTAAGTTTGCACCTGGAGCTTCACCTTGCAGGAGCTGATGGCTTCTGTGAACACAAAGCGCTTCCATCAGGAGAGATGACACTCAGGCAGGTCTTTATTGCTGCCTTCACGACTGAGAACTGAGCCCAGCCTCTGCTGGTCCTGTCCCGGAGATATCTAATAAACCCTTTTCCCTTCTTGAGCTACTGGAGTCTTCTGAATTTTGATTCTAGTGTGGGGTTCTTTGGGAGTGGAGCTTACTTCTGGTAAGGCTCTCTTCATTGTTTCCTTTCCTCAGCAGGGCAGGAAGTAGGAGTGCTTATCAGGCCTACCATCCAGTCAGGTGACAGGTCCTACATGCCTTATGGCTCAAAGTGTGGCTATAGTTTTGGTTTCTTTTTTGTTTTGAGACAGGGTTTCGGTAACTTCGGCAGACCCTGAACTCACTATGTAGAGAATGACCTAAAACTCCTGCTTCTCCTACTTCCAGCTCCCAAGTTCTGAGATAGGAGTGAGTGGTACTGTTAGGTCTCTGTTCCCATGGGTAACTGCTACTGAACAGATGCAGATAAAGCAGCCCTGGAGATGCTGTGTGACACAGAACACAGTACAGGCATGTTCACACACTGAAGGAATTATTCTAACCTCCCCAAAACTGGTATTATTGCTCTGTATTTTAACTTTCCTAGTGCTAGGAATCAAACCTAGGTCCCTCCACATTAAGTACTGTTGTACCTATAAGCTTTATATGGCTTTACACAGCTGTAAGTCCTCTAACTTGAAAACCTGAAAGGGCCAGAACTGATTCTGTAGCAAGACTTGGTTGGCCTTTCATTGTTTTCTTTGCTGATTGAAAGTGGCTGATAGAAGCTTTGGTTTTTAGATTTTATTGTAACTCTGTGTGTGTGTGTGTGTGTGTGGCTCTCTGTGAGTTTGTACATAGAACAGTGCCTGTGAAGGCCAGGAGACACTCAATTCCTTGGAGCTGGAGTTACAGGTGTAGAGTTGTCTCAGAACTGCAGCCTTTTGCAAAAGCAAGTACTTTTTTAAAAATTTTGTTTTGTGGGGTTGGGGATTTAGCTCAGTGGTAGAGTGCTTGCCTAGCACAAGGCCCTAGGTTTGGTCCTCAGCTCTGGGGAAAAAAAAATTTTTTTTTTTTTTTCTTTAAAGACAGTTTCTCTGTGTATACCTGGCCATCCTGGATCTCACTCTGTAGACCAGGCTGGCCTCAAACTCAAGAGATTCAACTGCCTCTTCCTCCCAAGTGCTGGGGTTAAGGGCGTGCACCACCGCTGCTTGAAAAGCAAGTACTCTTTAACCTGTCAAGCCATCCCTCCCTGATTAACGTTTTGTTGTTGTTTGTTTTTGAGACAGTCTCACTATGTACCTCTGGGTGGCCTCAAACATCAGCCCATCTCTGCCCCCAGAGTGCTGGAATTAAAGTGTGCCACCACACCCAAACTTTACCTGTATTTTACAACAACTTCCCGATATTGGACTACATTATTATCAGGCATTGGCTGTGTGGGTAGAATGTGTGTCTCATGAAGTCATTTGTACTGAGAATGTTTACCTGCCCACTTCCTCCTATGCAGAATTGTCAGAAAATACCCCCACTCCTTCTTCAAGGGTGTATTTCTACTCATGCTGTAACAGGATTCTGTCCAAATCGGATTTCAGGACAAGCATTTCTGTCATCTTCCTTTATCTCAGTCCACTGTTTACTGTCAGATTGGAACCAATTCCAAGGTGAAGCACAAAAGATGTGCCCATCTTAACCTGAAATGTCTCCAGGCCAGTTTTCCAGACCCTCAGTCAGGCAAGAGGGCTTCAGTCATTCACCTCCATCCAGTGGAGATTGGTAAACGTTCCACTGTCCATTTTGTCAATGAACAGGCAGCCCTGCAAATGATCCATCTCATGCTGGAGGATGCGGGCCGTCCACCCACTTGCTGACCACACCACTGGCTCTCCTCTTGGGTCCAGTCCTGCAAAGGAAGGTACAGGCTGCCTGAGGTGAGGGTTTGCTGAGTGTCCTTCACCTCCTGTCCCTATTTCCTGATCCTGCCCTGGCTATGCCTGTTTATAGCCTATCTACAGAGGCAACATCTGAAAGTGAATGTGGACAACAGCCCTTATCCCTCCTATAAAGGATGCCTCAACTTCGCTCAATGCCAACTTTTATTCAGCCTGATTCCCAGCTCTACTATAGGGCAAGGATAAGAAATCCTCTTGCTGAGGCGCGTCCCTCCTCAAAGTTCTTCTCAGGCGCTGTTTATCAAAGCTATTTCAGCTTGGCATAGTAGCAAATAATAACCCATTCTATAAAACAATGTGGACGATAGGCATGGGGTGATTTGATGCCTTAGTGTGGATAAAGCTGGGTCCCACTTTCTTACACAAGCCCACCATGACAGGTAAATAGGAAAAACGTGTGATACAGACCCCCATACATGGGAATCTGTACATACCTGTAAGAGAGGAGGGACAGACACGGACAGACTCCCTATCTGAGCAGCCTCCCCGGTTGGCACCCTGCCATCCATCTAAGCGGGTTTTACCCTGCTCTCTGTCAGCCTGGAGTCCGTGTGCTCCTGGGTCCTGCTGTTTGCAGTCTCCGGCTAAGGAGAGCACAGTCACCCCGCCGCCACCCCGTGCCCTGCACCTGAGATCTGCACGGCCTGGAAGCGAGGCACACAAGCCAGGAAACCGGAGACGCTCTCGCAGCCCTCAGGGAAGGTGACCAGGCGGCTGTCCAGCACCCTCAGGCTGGGGTTCACCAGCACCCGAAGCGGGAAGGGCTCCATCTGACGCAGTTCGCGCAGGCGCGGTGAGAAGGCGCGGAAGAGCGCGTCGGGGAACTCGAGCGCCAGCACTTGCAGCGGCACCCCCAGCTGCGGCGCACTGAGGCCCAGGCAGCCGCGCCGCCGCATCACCTGCACCAGCAGCCCCACCAGCCGCTGCAGCTCCGGCCCCGCCAGCTGCGCGGGTTCCACCGGGGCCGCCACGGCGCGCAGCACCGGGTCCCCGACCTGGCACACGCGCGTGTATGGCGGCTGCGGCGCGCCCCACACGAGGCGCCTCAGGTACCGCCAGTAGGAGCGCGTGCGTGCGGGGCCCTCTAGGCCGGCCGACGCCGAGCTGCAGCCCCGCGCCCGGCTCGGCGGCAGCCGCGCCGCCACCAGCAGCCCACCCAGCAGCCCCATGGCGCCGAAACCGCCGCCGCTCGTCCTCCCGCTAGCGCCAGGGACGCCGGGAAGCGTAGTTCCGGCGCGACCTCGGGCACCCGTCATCCCAGAGAGCAGCCAGGTGGCGACAGTCGTCGGATTTATTGAAGCTCCCACGTACCACAGTGGCCCGCGATACCCCAGGCAAAGCAGTCTCAGCCTCCACACACGGGGCGGCCTCCCCTCTCCAGATAGCCCCGGCAGCTCCGTGCCGTTAGTGCTGCTCCCCGGTCTGGGTGCAGGGGACACTGCCTATGGCTCCTCACTGGGCGGCTGCGCCGGCAGCGGCTCCCCCTCCGCTGGCTCCGCTGGCTCCGCAGGCAGCGGCTCCCCTGGATCGCTCCTCTCTGACCCGCCCTCAGGGGCCGCTGAAGTAACGGGCTCCAGGCCGGGCTGCTCGGCAGAAGGCTCTAGCGCTGGAACCTCGAGGTCCGGCACTAGCTCCTGGTCATCTAGGCAGAAGACGGTCTCTCTTTTAGGCAGGATAAAGGCGAGAGGCTCCTGGATGGCGCTGATGTTCACATGCCCAAGGGTTCCGTGCTTGGAGAGCTGGGTGGGTGAAATGCCTGACCCAGATGGCAGGAAAAAGGAAATGGAAAAAAAAGTCATTA